ATTTATTTATTTATTTATTTATTTATTTATTTATTTATTTATTTATTTATGTACACAGTGTTCTTTCTGCATGTGTACCTGCATGCCAGAACAGGGCACCAGATCTCATTATGGATGGTTGTGAGCCACCATGTGGTTGCTGGGAATTGAACTCAGGACCTACCTCTGGAAGAGCAGCCAGTGCTCTTAACCTCCGAGCCATCTCTCCAGCCCTTTTCTTGTGCGTTTTAAAGATAACATCTGTGAAAACATACCAATGACAATGTATCCTTCCAAATGTGAAATGTTCAAATATTACCATTACATAATTTTAGAGAGTTTCATTATATGTGACCTCAAGCTTCTATCAGATAGCCATCCCTCTCACAGTATCTTACAGCCCTGAATCCCCATTCCCTAAGTTGTTTCCTACTGGGGATGATTCTTCTCAATGAGAGAATACAGTAGGTGGCTGTGTGAAAAGTTTCTTTCACTTAGTGTGACGTCCTCCAGGAGCATCCACACTGGTATGTGCTCGCTCACTAGTTTTGGCAGCAGAAGGACAATAGACTAGAGATGGCAAGAGGGCACGCATAGCCTTGCTTTGCTTTTGATCTTGGGGGAAAGCATTCATGCCATCTTTCATCAGTAGTTATGGTGATGTTGACCCCCCCACCCCCTTAGGCAAGGGAAGCTCCCCTCTGCCCTCACTTTGCTGAGTCTCAGGAGCTCTTCTTTGCTTGACCAGGAAGCAGAGGCGTGGTGACAGTTGCGCTTCCTCTCCAGAGAGGCTGTTGTGCTGGGAACCCGTGCCTCACCATTCCAGGAACAAGCGTGAACTTCCTTCTAGTTTGGAGTTCAAACACAGTTCTTCGGTAGAAGCTCCACTCAGCACTTTTTACATGGGTGTCAACCGTTGTGTTTGGGTCTCATGTCTTCACAGCCGTGTCTAGAATCATCCCAGCCTTGCCAGTTAGGGGCTGCGTGTTATGTCTTGAGGTCTGAGAAAAAAGTGGGATGGGAGGTTTGCTACATTATAAGTTGATCCTAATGTTTCTAGAAGTTAAAAAAAAAAAAAAAGTTTCCCAGAACCTGTATTACTGCTAAGCACAGACATTGAGAGTGTGAGGGCAAGTGATAGAGACCTTACTCTCCTCAACTGGGGAATTGGTAATGTCTGTATTTGTGTGTGTGTGTGTGCGTGCGCGCGCTCACGCACACTCGCTCACATGCCCATGCATGTTTTATGTTTCAAGTGCTTGGTTGCTTGCTTAATCTAGTATATAGTTTGGTCTTGATATTAATCTTGTGTGATAGGAACTATTTCTTTTTATAGAAATGAGTCTTTTAGAGAAGCTAAGTCAGGCTGGAGAGATGGCTCAGTGGTTAAAAGCACTGACTGTTCTTCCAGAGGTCCTGAGTTCAATTCCCAGCAACCACAAGGTGGCTCACAACCATCTATAGTGGGATCTGATGCCCTCTTCTGGCATAAAGCCATACATGCAGATAGAGCACTCATATACAAAATAAATAAATAAAGAGAGCGAGAGCGAGAGAGCGAGAGCGAGAGCGAGAGCGAGAGCGAGAGCGAGAGAGAGAGAGAGAGAGAGAGAGAGAGAGAGAGAGAGAGAGAGAGAGAGGCTTAGTCTCATCTTGAAGGTTTGTATTCTGTGTTGGGATCCAAAATTCAAACTCCTGTCCTGTTTTACTGTGCTGTTTATTTCTCCTGTTCTCTGAGAAGTTGTGCTTTTACTGATGAGAGAAGAGATACTAAAACAAACAAGCAAACAGACAGAGAACACTAACAGACAGGCCACCTGAAGGGCAGACACCTTTTCCTGGGTAGGTGCTCTGGATTCTTGAGCTTCAGCTATGAGCTGTGTTTTTGCAGTTGCTGAGGCTCGGAGAAAGTTATGGGTTGAGATTTGGATGAGCATGACGAGGAGAGGAAGACCTCAGGGCTACAAAACCATATACACAGACATGAACTTGACCTCCTTTTAGAAGCTGTTGTCTGGGGTGTTTCTGCCACTCATTAACAAAAGGTTCACCATAGAGGGTGAGATTTGGGATTGGGTTTGAGAGTCAGAATTTTTCAAATAAGGGATTATTTACAACAATGTTTGCATAATAGAGACAATAATGTATTGAGTTTCTTTTGTTTGTTTGTACAATTTACAATCCTTACTTGTTCAGAAATATGAGGAGGTGCTGCAGGGTGAGGGAGCTGGCTGGTGAGGTGAGATCCTGGCTGTCCATCCCTACCTCAAGTCAACAGCCATGGTAGTCCATTTTACTGATGAAAACCCCATTTTACTGATGAAAAAGCAAGGGCTTAAAGTAACAGAACAAGAAATGTAACTCAAGGTTCTTGGTACCTGTTACATCCCAGGCAGGCTGCAGAGCTCTGGGGCATTTGGGATACCTGACCTCTGCAACTGAAGTGTTACAAGAGCTAGAGCTGTGTAAGAAGTTCCAGAAAATCTGGGAACAGAGCAAGGGGAGCCCATTGCTCTCCATTGGATAAACAGGTTAGGGGAGGTCATACTGGAAAGTGTCATGTGACTCAAGTTTTCTTAAATTTATTGGGATTTTCCAGGGAGATTAAGTGAAGAGGCCATTCTAGGTCGAAGTAGCAACCTGTATTAGGAAACAGAGGTGTGCAAGAACACAACTTAATCAAGAAATAGCAAACATTTTTCTGATGAAGAAAACTACCTGTTATGAAGCATTATTCAGTGCCAGGCATTGTGTTTGGTGATTTGCATGGATTACATCCTGTAATGCGCTGAAGAATCCTGAAATGGATACACATGGGAAAATGGAGTCTTAGGACTGAGAAGTGAGGAGGTCACATAAGGCCTCACAGTTAGACAGGGACGGAGCTTGGAACTGAAACTGGAGACTGTAGTCTTGACGGGGGTGACCAGTTGGCTTTCAGCCTGTAGGTCAGTGGTTCCCACACTTCCATCAGAGTAGCCAGATGTGCTTGCTACAACTGAGTTTCCTGATTCAGTTGGTCTGAGGTAGGCTCCAAGGACATGGATTGCTCATAAGTTTCCAGGCCATTTTGATTCAGCTGGTCCAGGGATCACGTTTTAAGATCTGCCATGAAGAGAGGCAGTAGAAAGCTTTTAAGCTTCAAAGTGTCAGATTTGTATCATACCTAGAGTTCTCTGCGTACTTTGTTGAGATGAGTTACAGGTTGGATCTATAAGGATTCAATGAAATGGTGCATGGAGGAGGCAGAATGCAAAAGAGGCCACGAGAGGACCTTCTGAGGTAGGTTTCAAAGCAGATGAGGGATGCCAAGAAAAGTCTCCATGTAAGAAGAACACTCGGTTGCCAGCAGCACTCAGTAAGCCCTGAGCAACAATGGAAATGGTCATACTTAGTAATGTGAGCCTCTAGATGTGACATCTGATCAGGAACAAGAGGAACAAGTACTGCAGTCGAACAAGTGTTTCATGGTGTCCATGAAAGGAAAGGAAGTTGGCAGGGAAGGCTGGTTGTGTAGGTAGCTACATTTTGGATGTGTTGAGTTGAGGCCCTCGTGTGGTGTAACAGAGAGATGTCAGACTAGTGGACAGAGGACTAGGTTGGTTTAGAAGACCTGGTGCTTAGCCCTGGCTTAGTCACTTACTCCAACATTTCAGAGATGTCACATACGCTTTGTACCTCTTCCCCATCCCATCCCCCCTTTTCATTTTCTGGAAGAGAGGATAATAGTACTTCTTCCTGCTTAAAGACGCTGGAAGGAAATTGTCAATCCTATGTTGGAACTGTTGAAAAACAATTACTTTGGGCTAACAAGATGGCTCCATTAGTAAAGGGGTTTGCTGTTAAGCCTGATGACCTGAGTTTGGTGTCTGGGACCCACGTGGTAGAAGAGGCAAAAACTGATTTCTTCAAGTTGTCCTGTCACTGCTACATATGTGCTGTGGCATGTGGGCACGAGTGTGTGTGTGCACACACACACATGAAAAAAATATAGCCTATCATGGAGGTGCACACCTCTAATCCCAGCACTCAGTAGGCAGAGGCAGGTGGATCTCTGTGAGTTCCCTGGTTTACATAGTGAGTTCTACAACAGCCAGAGTTACATAGTGAGATCCTTTCTAAAAAAAAAAAAAAAAAAAAAAGAAAAGAAAAAGAAAAAGAAAGAGAGAAAGAAAGAAGAAAGAAAGCAATAACATTAAAACACTTATAATCTAAAAAAAGAGAGAAAGAAAGGGAGAATTTGTTAAAACAGGACAGGAAAACAGATAGAATTATTTGTAGTAATCTTTCCACCCACCCATGCATATGTGGTACAATGCATTACAAAGTCATTCCCAAGATGGAAGCTTTTCTGAGGCTCTCTGGATGGATGACGACTTTCTGTCTCTTGAATATACAGTTGAAACTAAACAGTTAAATCGTTCTTTTGACTTTTAAAGTGTTTTATTATCAACCAGAGTTAGAAACAAAGCCGACTTATTTCCTGGGGGCTAATTCTTTCAAAACCTCTTTTGTTATGAATTTATTATGTTCAAGGTCTCAGGTCACATTGTTCTACATCAACTGCCTTAGATGGTTTTGGAAATCCTAAACAAATGTTTTGAAACTACCAGCTGTCTCCTTTATTTTACCCAATCCTAAGGCATTAACAAATAGACACACGTATTTTTCGTGTGTGTGTGTGTGTGTGTGTGTGTGTGTGTGTGTGTGTGTGTGTGTTCATGGGTGTGAGTGTGGATACACATTTGTCAAGGTCTATGGGTGGAGGTCAGAGGACAACTTTGGGTGTTGAGGCAGGGTCTCTCTTTTGTTTCCTGCTGCATACCAAGGCCATCCCAAGAGTTTTTGCGGGTTCTCCTTTCTCTACTCCTGTCCCATGAGGAACATTGCAATTGAAGACACATCGCTAAGTCCAGCTTTTTACACGGGGCTCCAAACTCTGTTCCTTACACATGATTTCCCACTGAGCCATCTCTCTAGCCATATGGATGTTTTTGTATATGTGTGGGTGTAAGTATACATCTAAATATATTTACATATTTAACTAAAGTACCAGAAGTAACTTTCCTGAGATATGTGGTCATGGTAATTGATAAGTATTCATTAACTTAAAAGCCACACTCAACACCCACAGCCTTTTCTTTCTGTCTACAACAACGAGAACCTCCCTGGGGCAAGCTAAGCGCCATTTTTTTTTTTTTTTTTTTTTTTTTTTTTTAAGCCCAACAACTGTATCTGTTCTCTATTCCTTGCAAATTGTATCCACACTACAAAGAGATTAGCTTTAAAATCTGATTAAACCTCAACCTTCCTAAGCTTTCTTCTAAAGGTTTTCCATTGCTCTAAGGATAAAGATAATGCCATTAAGGTTACCTTTGAAAAACCACATGCTTGGCCTCCCTTAACCTCTGCACTGTCCCGTGCTCCCAACCTCACTCAAGCTGGCGGATTTTTGGACATCATGAATTTCATCTTCAACCTGCAGAAACTGTTTGCACTTTCTGGTCTCTCTGTCTAGAATTATTTCTCCTGTCTGAATGCAGTTATTCCCACCCACCCTTCAAATCACAGCCCAATTGACTCTACAAAGTCTTCTGCAAACCCTCCCAACTAGATTGAACCTGAATTCTGTCTTCTCAAAACACCACTGACTTCTACATGTCTACCCTTACCACAGTTTCCATTTTACAGTTATCTTTGCATCTAGTTGAATGTGGAAGGCATGGATGATGTTTAGTTCGGCTTCCTTTTACTCAGAACAACTTTTAGTACACATAGACACTAATAAATATCTGAATGATGAATAGGTATTCACAGATTATTTTGGTGTGGGATTCTTGTTAGTTTCTGTGGGTAGCAAATTTAATATATAGACAGTTACAACATAAGTTAAACCTACTGGAAAACATGGCAGTATTGATTTCAGCTTTCAATTGTGTGATAATTAGGAGAACAAGCCCTCTTGGCATTTGAACTGAAATCTGCTATTTCTCAACTGGCTAACTCCTGGGAACATATATTACCCATGAAACATTGACTTTGTGGTTTAGCATCTGAAGTTCCATCTGCAGTCCAGAATTGTGGAAGCAATGAGCCAGCTTATTATTCTTTTAGCTGTCAAAACATTCTACCCATTAGGTTGGGAAACAAAGACTGTTGTTCATTTTATAAATTCTGGACTTTCTAGTAGTCCTCAGCCAAAACGGAATTTAAAGACAAGAAAGACATAATGACTTTTCAACTAGATTAGGGGAAATACATATGGGGGCCATTTTCTAATGTTCATGGTGTTTTGTTGGAGTTACAGTTGGAATAATACTAAGCCAAGTCAAGTCAAGCATAATGAGAAACAGGATTTAGACAAAATTTTGGTGAGTTCCTGACAGTTTCATAATTGGGAGAGAGAATGGCAAGTGTCGATCACCTACTTTTCAAATCTCATCGGTCACCTCAAGCCTTATCCTGATCAGGGTTTTGAACAAGGATCCATAGACTACTTTCATGAAAAGATAGACTGTGCCTTTATATAAATGCAACTGCTATATTGCAATCAGGCGACACACTGCAGCTTTGTATAAATAGCAGAGTAAATAAATCACTGCTCTGCAGCTCACAGCATCAAGATGATCCCCCTGCTGGAACACCCCAGCTTGCTACAAAGAGATTGAAACTTAAAGTCCAATGGACACTGGACACTATCACCAATAGATTAAAAATTACACTATGAATTAGACTAAGCCATTCAACAAGTGGGGTATTGGTAGATTAAGTCATGGTCATTTATTTTAATGTTATTCGGATGTGGTCCTTGTATGACTTGCATCAGAATGACTGATTGAGCCCTTCTTGTCTGTCCCCTAAAATCTCCCTTTCTTCTCTCTACCCCCTAGATCTAGTGGAGCAGAATCTCTGGGGGTAAGGCATAAATATCACATTTTAATATCTGCCCCTTGGGGGATCCTTGTGGGTTCATAGAGTTGTAGAACCAGAGTGATTTTTGAGGCTGAGATGGTTAAAAGATGTTTACAGTGTTAGGTTTTTCTCTGCCAGAGGGCAGTGTTCTCTGAAATATGGCTGGGTTAATAAACCACGCTGGACGTTAAGTTTAAAAGCCCCCTTTCTGAACTCTTTCTGCTGTCTTGAGTCAGCCAGCCACGGATGTCTTTTTACCAAAATCTTAAACACCACAGCAGGTGAACTTTCTTATGGAAGATTTTGTGCTGTAGTTCAGTTATTTCAGGTGATTTTCTTTGACCTATTTTGTACACTACTGGGTGTTTGGGTTTTCTCTGTTTGAGATAATGAAGGGTAATTGTATTTTACTGTTGATTTGTTGCCAAAGTAGGGACTTGGACTACCCGCCCCCGACACTTAATCTATAATGATTACCTTGTAGTGAAAATCTGCTTGCCTTGTGTCTTGCCCTTCAAGCCCTGTTGGGAGTGGAGACATAAGGACTAGTGGGGATTTCTGGCTGACAGCCTGGTCCTGACTTCAATGAGACACCCTATCTCCAGGGAATAAAGGGCACAATAATAGAGCAGGATACTAAAAGCCCTCCTCTAGCCTCCACACATGGAGAGTACATGTACCCTCACATGCATACGCAATCTAAAACAGCATAATTTGCTTAGCTATAGCTAGATGGTGTGTATATGTGTGTGTGTGTGTGTGTGTGTGTTTATGTAAGCATGTATGTCCTTATATATGTGCAGGTATGTGTGCATATGTGTATGTGTGCATGCGTTTGTGTGTATATGCATGTGTTTGTGTGTGTATGTATGCATGCATATGTGTCATCACGTACATGCACGTATATGTAGGTATGTGTGTGCATACGTGTGCATGTATTAACAAGTCTATGACACACAATGGCCAGGTGAAGATGCGGTTCTTTGGCAGAACTGTGAACAGAAACAGGGGCTGTTCTTGATCCCTTTGGATACGTGGGTAATCCAGTGCTGCACAGACTCACACAGGGACTTGTATCAACTTGCTGTCATACTTTGTGGCCTCTTTCTCCTGCACAGCTAGTTTGCATGCCATAAAATAAAACAATAAAGTGAGAACTGATATTCGGTTTCTGAGCTGCACCCCCCCCCCCACACACACACACAAGGAGTGCCTACAGTGACCTAGAGATGGGTTTCTATAATCAAATGTCAGAGAAAGTCTCAAGTTGCCGGGATCTGGAGGCCTGGGGAGGCTAGAGAAAAAAAAAAAAGGAGGCTGTTTTTTAGACCCTCTGGAGCATGCAGCATACAATGAAATAACCGTGTGGACTTGATGATTTCCTTTCGGTTTACAGATTCTCCCCCAAACAGCAGGTTTGCATCTTGAGATTGAATATAAACGGAGCAACATCTTACATGGGTTAACATCTTTTAGAAGCCTTGCTAAATAATCAACTCCAGATCAGTTTAGCTTGGCATACAGACTAAAGCAAGAGGCTTGTAGATAAATTCATAGCCTGCCCCCTCTGCGAGAGTGCAAAGCTAAGAGGATCGAGAAGGACAGCTGAATGTCTGGCAGTATTTTTTCTTCTCTTCAATGAGCTGTTTACTAAATTCTGGAGTTTATAATGAAACCCAGGCTTACACTGCAATCCACGTAAACAAGCTCTTGGCTTTTGTGCTATCAGGTTTTTATGCAAGCAGAGAGCCATGGGGGCTCCTTTAGCAGTTGCTGCCTGGAAGGTTCCTGTTTGTTTACGTATGCACATATGTGCTCTGCAAGAATGATGGTCAAGGGGCCTGGCAGGGAAAAGTCCAAAACAACCCTTCCCTCATTTGAATCCTAAAAGCATATAACATGTAAACGGCTTTCCAATTTAGAGACTTCTAAATTTGGTGTGGTTGCCAAGTTGTTGAATTACTAAGGTTAGAAGCTTCAACACACACAACAACCTCACACAGGACACAGCCTCTTCAAACTAGATGAGCATTTAACAGGAGTTCTTGCAGCCATTGGCATTTCCAAGCTAAATTCAAGGCTGATCAAGCTTCCCCTACTGTCTCTTACACCCGCTTCTTACCCCCACCCCCCACCCCACAAACAAGCTAACCTTTGTCAGGGATGGGTAGAGACTGGAATGATGTTGTCTTTCCTCATGCGAAGAAGGACTTTATGCAGCTTAGCGGGCAGTCCCAGTATTTTGATAAAAGTTACTTCTGTAAAATTTAACAACATGGAGGGAGATAATGCTATCTCTTGTGTGAGTTGCAATTTTGGAAGATTCCATTGGGAGAAGCTCCCAAGGAATCAGAAGTAGCTGAGGGTGTAGTTATATAGAGACAGGGTCATTCCAACTGCTAGAAAAATAAACAAATGTGAAGGACAGAGAGATTTATTTGGTTTACAGATTGTAATTTTTTTTTTCTTGTTAAAAAAAAAAACCCCAAACCCCTGAAGTTGCGGAATTGAAGACCTGGAATAACTACATAGCACAAACTTCGAGCTGTTGGGAAGTTCCGGGCAGTTCTGTTTCATTTTTATCGGATAAAATACATTTGGTTTCTCTTTTGACAAACCATGTATTTGTTGAGGGGAGAAACCGAACATGCACTGTTATTGGCCACGGCTACATAAGAAATCCCTCTGTTGCCAAAGGATACCACATGAAAGTGTCTGTGTGAGGGGAGGGGCCGGCCGGGGGGTGGGGCCAAGAAGGATGTTGCCTTAAGCTTCTTATGCTCAGAGTTGCAATTTGTGAACCAGCTGTGATGAAATCTGGCTCTGGACGAATCAGAGGCGCCTGTCAACTTCCCAGGTGGGATTGCTTGGAGTTAATAGACTGAACTCAGAGCCCCAAGCGAACACAGTGCCGTCAGGGCACGCAGAGAACACCCCGCAGAGGCTTTCCAAGAATCCCTCGGCATGGCAAGAAAAGGCTCTTTCGGGTCATACCAGGTAGGCGGAGGATGCTCTGACTGAGCGAACTGCTCGGTCTTCCGAAATCACTTCCATTTGAATTCGATTTTTTTTTCTCTCTCCTTGTTCAAATCCAGACATCATCTGAGAATGCCTTTCAGAATCGGCAGGGCTGGGATTGCTGTGCTCATCTGAACTGCTTCCATGAATTCCGAGTCCGTCTAATCTAGCCGTGCTTGACGACGTGATCTCTCTTTATTCCCTTAGGTGATATCCTGGTTCACTTTTGCCATTGGTGTCAACATCTGCTTAGCATTCACAGCAAGCAGGATCAAGAGGGCAGAATGGGATGAAGGACCTCCCACAGGTAAGAGGGGTCAGTTATTAGCCTTTCTGATTCTTTAACAGTACTGTGCACCACGTCAATCCACGTCAGCACCTTCAGACATTCATTTTTCAGATGATCTTGAAGGGCAATTAATTTAGTCTATAATTTAGCTGTAAAGTGTGCTCTTTTGTTTTATTTTATTTGATATGTATGAATATTTTGTATGCATGCATATACATATCCCCTGGAACTGGAGTTATGGACAGATGTGAGGCGCCATGTGGGTGCTGGGAATTGAACCTGAGTCCCCTAGAGGAACAGCCAGTGCTCTTAACCACTGAGCCATCTCTCCAGCCCCCAGGTATGTTATTTTAATCAGAAAACTTGACTGTCACTTCTTAATAACTGACTTTAAATTTTTGCACCCTGAAATTTATAAATATTGAAAAAGAACGAGAACCTTTGTTCATAAATAAAGCCAGGCTGACTGCAGAGAGAACAGGCATTGGTTTAATGATGGAGAGGGATGAGGCTGACAAGCTCCATGTGATACAGAGGGGTGACACAGAGGGATGCTGCCATATGCCGTAAAGTACATTATTTGCTACCAGAAAATTATGTCCTAGGAGTGAGAAGAAAGGAAGGTTGTTATTTATTTATTTTTTTTTATGAGATGAACTCTTTTTTTTTTTTAAATGAAATTTTAGAAATTCAGAACTTTGGGACTAAGATTTACTGAGAATAAGGGAACCCTCAAAGTGAGCTCTTTAGAGTTTCAAGAGCAGAGCTGCATTCACTGTGTTTTCTTCTGGAACGAGGCAAGGTGAGTTTTCGGAGCCTGCCTGACTTAACTGACGCCGCCGCAGCCCCAGTGAAAGGGGCTCCTTTGCAGGGCACGGAGACGAGCGGGGCTTCATAAAGGAACGCTTGTGCGGGCCCAGGGGGCTCTGCTGACCTGCTCTGAGGCAATGACTTGGTTAATTTCCTGGAAATTGGAGCTGCTGATGGTTTCAGAATTAAAAATTGCATTTGAAATGACAGGCACTCTAGGGGGCAATGTTGGCTTCCCTTTTCCTGACATCACAGGATGTCTTCTGTCTTCCTGGGAATTTTGCGTTCCTCTGCATTTCTTGGTGGGAGCAGCATGAAACACCACTTGTCTTTACACCACCATGAATGTGTATTATTAAACAAGGGATCATGGGATAGTGAGTCTCCCACACGGCAAGCAAGTTGCTTGAATTAGGCTTGGGAAGACTGAAGGAAGGGTAGGAAACACGGGTGAGTGAGCTGAGGTGAGGTGTAGTTTGAAGGAAGAAGGAGAAAACAGATCTTAAGACATTGTGGCCCCAGGGAGCCCAAATGGACAAAACTTCATTGTGTTTCGTTGGGGACGGAGGAGAGGGGGTCACCGGGCCAGAAGAGAATGCTGTTTTTATTGGAGGCAAATGCGGTCTTCAAAGCCCTCTTTTTTCACTCCCGCTAAGGCTGATTGTGACTAACAGACAGGGCCCTTGGTGTGGGCATGTGGCTCTGACAGCCCACTGCCAGGCCTTTCCAAGGAGCCTAAAAGGAACCTTTTCCCTGCTTCCCTTAAATGATATCGACAGGAATAAATGCTGTTTCTTTAATGAGTGCATTATTTTCAAACTTGACTTTTTTGGGAACTGTATCATGAAGGTCCCAGCCTGGCACCATGGGTCCATATTAGTAAGTGCTATGGTCACAGGCAAGTCACTTATAAAGTTTCAGCCCTCAGCAGTGAGGATCAGCTTAGAAGGTTTCTATTTTTTATTAAAAAAAAAAAATCCCCAATTATCTCCATCCTGTTTCTTCTCCCTCTTAAGTGTGTGAGATCTCTACCAGAAAACTCAAAAACTATAGATTAAATGTATTACCCCCTGAAAATATAACTTGCATAATAAACTATGTCCACATGCCAAAGGAAATAGATACGAGAATGAATGTGCCAATATTACTTCTGGGAAACTAGTCCAGTCTATAGTATAACTCATCAATTAGATAGCATTAAATATACTACAGAATACTTACATCTTGAATTGTTTGATACAATCATTACCTTAAGCCTTCACGGTATCTAATGATAGTTCACTTATGCCTACCTACCTACCTATGTGAAGTGTAGTCTTAGGACACCATACAATTTACACCCGAGTTTCAGGATTTTGATATTCTTCTGTGGTTTTTATTCTTAAACTTCTCTTTGATGCAGTTTACCTGCTGTCTATGCACTGAGGTTCATTTCTGCGTAAATGGAAAAAAAGCAAAGGTGCCTTTTAGAAAGGGGGGGAACGCAGCGTAGACGTTGTTCACATCTTTTTAAATGCTGACTACACTGGGAAGGGGGGATTCTCCCAAATAACAAGTGATAGGCTGTTCTGACTCTTAGCACAATTTTGGCATCAGAAAACATTGGGTGAATTTTTCCTACATCTATTAAAATAAGAGTTGAGAGAAAGCACCCCAATTTTTTTAAACAACACTTTCAAGCTCCAAGAAATCCTGCAAATTCACTGTACCAGGTGACTCACCAACAGGAGGAAGACAAAGAGGTGTTTTTTTTTTTTTTTTTTTTTTTTTTCAAAGCCTACAGCTCCTGGTTTAGTCCTGGTAGCTCCTTGGGGCTGCTGGGTAACAACAGAGAATGTTTTGTATGCATGAATATTCTCACTCCTGCACTGTGGTGAACTGAGGTGTCTGCTCCAAGGCTGTGACCACGCAAAGAAACTTCTAATTAACTAACTAGCACACTTGGTAGCGGGATTGATTGTTAGGAAGGACCTGGTCATTTCTTAGGAGCAGAGGGAAATAAGAATTCTCCCAGGTCCTGAGATGTGTAGGAAATGTCAAAAGACCAAAGTAACGTAAAAGCGCTGGAAAGGGACACTAAGGTAAATGGGTGGCAGAAATCAAATTTCAAAGGAAATTTAAGTGCAGTTTAGTTGGATATCTTTGTTTCAAACATCCGACGTGGTCACTCCATTCGTCTTTGAGATGAAGAGAAAGCGTATGTGCCAGCAGTGGTCTGCACACTGTGGTGCATGTGGATGTGGTGTGTCTGGAGTTGTGGAGGAATCTGCATTACAGAAGTACCCAGGGAGACATGGGTACTCTTTGAACTAGAAGCAAAGTGACTTTGGTATGACAAAATGGGATTTGTGAGCTTGTGAATACTTGGCTAATAAACATCCAATAACTCAGTCCAATTTATCATCATTTTTATTGGTTGGAAAGGAGTGATTAAAAGCACATGAGTGATGGATTTTTGAGTACATATGAAATGAAAAGCATAACTAATAATTTTATGAGAAAATAGAAAATCTTACTAGGGATGAGAAGGCTCATGTTCTTTGATAATTTTAGGAATCTCACTGTGCAGTTGAGAGCAATTTAAGTAACAGCCCAGCAGAATGTAGGAAGATATAAAATGATGGTCAGTCATCACTCCGTGAGGAAAGTGGTCAGATAGGGTATAGTGCTCAGTGTGGCTTCATGTTAGACTGAACATAGAAACTGGGAAGTTTGAATCAATGGGATGAAGTCATCTGACTTAGAATTCAGGGATGTCATAGATTTTGCGGTTTTCTGGTGGGTGGGGCTCAGTGCAGTGATTTTTCCATTTACTTATATATAGCAGAGAACTCTCTATGCTTATATAGCTGAAATTTCAGTGCGCTTTGTTCAACATAGATTTTTTCTTTTTGTTTTTTTTCCTTGATATTTCTTTTATTGAAAGTAGATGGTTTTTTAATACAATATAATTAGGGTTTCCCTTCCCCCAACTCCTCTTAGATCCTCCCTGCATCCCCTCCCATCTGAAGCCACACTTCTGTCTCAGAAAACAAATAGGCAGCTAAAGAAGAAGAACAAAAATAAGATAAAACAAACCAACCACCAAACAAACCAACACAGGGCAAAACAAACACGCAAACAGGGAGAAAAGAG